CCTTCCAGAACATCCTTCCAGAGTTTCTCATATTTTCTTTCAACAAAAGTGGTTTCATTCACCGCATTCTATTTGAAACATGGAAAGCGACAAAAAAAACAGCATATCGTACTGAAAAGTCAAGATTCTCAGTTCAGAAAACAATGGAGGTGTGGATTTTGGGGATTTTCATCAAGTTCTTTATTTCCTATGAGGTGGAGGGGAGAGATTGGTGTTAAGAGTGTACTTTGGCACGTTTTTGACACATAGGTCTGAATCTGTGTGACCTTTGACACACAGGTCTTAAGCTGTTTCAGCCTCCTCCTGATTAAAGATCTCGTTCTCAGTTAAAGTTTCAGTACATTATGTACCAGACACCTGGAGCTGTTTGGTGAGCAGTTGATATCAAAGGTCTGATAGGGTCTTTATTCTTTTATGAGAGTTCAATTTTTTTCTTAGTAGTAACTGTCTGTTAGTCACCTTACTGAAATGTAATAACTGGTAAAGTTGTGTTTTTGTGTCTGTTTGCCTGTCTGATCCTGCTGCGCCACTTGCAGGTGAAAGCATCTGTCTGCATCCCTGGGAAGCAGACATTTCTTTTCAGGGAAATCAAAATGACTCAACACTGGACTGTGGGGATTAGACATTCTTCCTCACAGATTCATAATGCTAAAATAGACCTGGTATGGCTTGATTCAGTCCAAGCTCATGAACATTTGATTTGCTTTATTCCTTCCTATTTTGCTCTATTATTAACATTTCAAAACAAATTGCTTGAACATTGGTGATTTTCACAAGTCACTAAGATGTATTGTAATGAGCACTGCCAGCCTGAACACACTATTGGAGACAAGCTTTTACAATAAGAACTTTTTTTTATTTTACTGGGGGAACTGAAACAGAAAAGAAAGTGAATTGTTAGTGAGGCACATGTTCATTTTGTGGTTTTCTGTTGAAAATTGTGGGTGGCATCTTGGATCAGTTGTCAGTATTGATGCTTTATAGCATCAGGGCGCTATTCATACTCAGTATGAATTACACGATTAGGGCTTGTTTACACACCCCAATACAAAACAAGTCTAATTTACTAATTTAATTCATATAAGTGATCTGGATCCAGTCTGAGACTCAGAGTCTTGGAGGTTGATTTCTTCAAATGGGATTTTTTTTTTCAAATAAATTGTCTGATTTTGAATTTACCAAGCTATTTTGTTCAGACACAGTAAGCATATTTTTTTTATTTACATTTCCAAAGCAAGACAAAGAATGGCACTTAAAAATACTGCTTTGAAAGTTATAAGACAGTATCAAATCAGTAGAATACAACTATATGAAATGTTGATAAGATGATCTGTAAAATCCAAATTTGTTTTTTATCACAGTACAATATCCCTACATGTCAGTATTCTAATGTCATGCTTTCTCCACAGCTAGTTTCTGCACAGGCTTTTCACTACCTTAATTCACTGTGAATCTCTTGCACAGTAATACACAGCTGTGTCCTCAGTCGTCAGGCTGTTCAGCTGTACAGCATGCTGCTGGAGGTGTCTTTGCTGATGGTGACCCGGCTCTTAAGTGAATCGGTGTAAGCTGTGCCTCCTCCAGTCCACATTGCACCAATCCACTCCAGCCCTTTCCCTGGAGCCTGGCGAATCCAGTGCATATCGTAACTGGTCATGGAGAATCCAGAGACTGTGCAGGACAGCTTCACAGAGTCTCCAGGCTTCTTCACCTGAAGCTCTGATGAGGTCAGTGAAACACTGTGTGCACCTGTACGGAGATTAGGAGACACAATGAACTTAAATGCAAAGAAAGGAGAATTTGGGATTTACATTAATTATAAGGCTATTGCACATGTGTTTGCTGCACATTGACTTGATTTCCTATGTAATTCATGGTGCTTCTCCTTGTAAAGAAAAATATATTTGAGTACTTACATGGTGGTAAAGCCAACAGCAGGATGTATTTGAAGATCATTTTTGCGGTATCGTTCTTTTGTAAATGAACAGATACCAGCAGTAAATCTGCTCTCTGTGTCCTATATCTCTCTCCTCACAGACAGCAGCTGTATTATAACAGGAAGGCAGGGACTGATTTGCATGAAGACCTTCAGGAGCTCAAATAAAAAGTATTCAAAGTGGAGGGACAAGAATAACTCTTGACTTCAAATCAGTCACTTAATATTCCTGCTGCTTGTTACATAATTATAGGAAAGGTATAAATGAAAACTCACTCCAACTAAAATCATCACTTCTGGCAAGACGTTACCGTATCCCACCTGAAGAGTTTATTCTCATAATAACTTTACACATTTCATTTTTAGAACCACATTGATTTCTCTCAGGCCTGACAAAGATATTATACACAGATTTGTAAACAAGCTTATAACCCCATCTGATGTTGCTCTGAAAACAACACCTCTTCCTAGGCTGAAGGAAACTCTTTTCCACTGGAAAATATTGGTCGATTGGATTCACTGTTATCCTAAGGGAGGGAGTGGTTTGTATGATGTCCTTTCAGAATCTTCAATAGGAGTTAAAAGCTATTGGGACAGGAGGACTGACAACACTGCTCTGACAGGCCACCAGGAATGATGTTTATCACAGGGGCTATAGAGTGGCCTGTCCATCAAGAGACCAGTCCAGTCAGGGCCTAAACCCCTGACTGCAGGACCCCTATGTCTGATGTCCTTCTGATGACAGGGGGCATGAGGAGAACAGGGAGTGAAGTAGTGACAGAGCTCAGACAGTGAATGTTCTTACAACAGGCTGTTTACCTTAACTATTGGACTCTGCCTTCACACATTCCATCATCATGTCCACAAACAAATAAATTGCAATTGCATAAATTGAATTTTTCAAAATTTATATGAATAAATACAGTTCATCCTTTACATTTTATTTAAAACATTTAAAGTCTTACAAATAAACAGAACGCGATTCTTAGTCTGGAAAAGAAGAGATGTGCCTTGTTACTTTTCCTCTGTCTATATTTTGTCAGGGAGAGTTCTTTCTGGACCCTATGCAGATGACACAATCCAGGGTTGAGTGAGAAAACATGAGGAAAAAAGGCATGCAGGATACAGGGATGAGAACGGGGGGGCGTGTCCATGGAGTGCTGGTGGTTGGGGGAGGTGTGGCCGAGGCAAACGATCCAGGGATGAGACAAACCGGAAATCCAAAAACAGCAGAAGTCCAAGGCCAGACGATCCATCCGAGATTTAAAGTTTTCTTCTTTAGAAGGGCCAGTACTTAACCGGTTCTGTTCTTTACCCCTTTGCTCCTACCATGTTCAGTACCCCCTGTCATGAAGAGTTTTTCAGGACCCTATGCAGACGGCAAAATCCAGAGGGGAGTGAGACAAACACTGCACAGAAGACTATGATAGGGGTTAGAAGAAGAACAGGGAGGCACGTCCAGGGTGCGCTGGTGCATGGGGGTGTGGTACATGGCAAACAAGTCCGAAGGGGGTCCGTAGGAAAATACATGAGAGAGCAAAAGTCCAGAGCTGGGCAATCAATCCAAGATGAACAAGACTTGCGTTAAAAGCCAGAGCGGGATCCGGCAAAGGGTCGGGGAAATAGATGGGCTAATGGGGCCAGGTGGTCCCAGCCCCGGACCCAGACGGTCAGGACG